GCTAGGAATGACGGGGGCCTTACCTTTCAACGTGTGATCCCAAACACTTTTTTTTTTATCGCTTGGAGCGCACGAGAGGGAATTCCTATAATGTTCAAAGAACATCGTGCGTTCCTAGGGAGGATAGGGACAGGAGGTAGGTATTGGAATTTTTTTTGAACTTTTGGAGATTATATGTTGTTGGGAACACTTCCACAGGCAATGAATTCCAGAGCCTAGCCGTTCTATGGATGAAGGAGTCTTGATAAAGTGCTGTTCGACATCTTTCGAGGTTGACAACGAAAGGCTGTGCTGACTTGGGCCATCAGAAAAATTTTTGCAGTCGATGGGAGCGAACCCACGACCGGCAAGCGAATGCGAATCAACATATTGACACTCTGTCCGCACGAATACCTGGCCCCTGGAATAATATATTCCTACAGGTTCATACATATTTCAAGAAACTCAACGGAACACTGATGTATTTTTTATATTTTTGTTGGTTTTGAGTTCTATCATGAAGAATAAATCATACTGATGGTGTTCGAAATGGATATACTTAGGTTGAAAGTACTGAGAATATAAAATAGCAGAGTTAGAAACACTTCTGTCTACCGAATAACTGTGATGATGAATAGGAAAAGGAAATGAAAGGAAATAGAAAACTAATTCCATTTTCCCAATCACAACTCACTCTGTATATTGTAGAATTCAGAAAAAACTCCTCCGAAAAATGGAGATTTGTGTCCGTTAGCTATAGGAATTTTTCGAATAGTTTTGCTAAGGGAAAGGAGCTACAACTAAATTGAATGAATGTATATTCATCATAATGATGAATGAGGAAAATAATTAGAATTGTTTTCCATATTGAAATGATATAATGAAATGATAAACATTCTACACTCTACATACATCACAATTAGAAATAAATATACATGAAACCGAATGATGAAGATTAATTAAATCAGTAAATTCAGAATTGTAGCTTGACAAATCTATTCATTTTCCTTGAGCGCTTCAGATGATATGAGTACTCTTGGAAAAGGCAGGCTTCCTTTTATTTTATGAAAATGAAATTCACAAACCAACCAAAACATCCATGATTCCGCAGGATAATCAGAATTGAATAAATATATCATTTTGAAATATATATCTACTGCTCTAACTATGTGAAAGAAGGTATATCTGATATTATCAAAATAAACACATATTCCGGTGAGATTTGATATGTCCTCACCTACACAGATAATGAATTGCTAAATGGCACTCTTTTTTTACTTTGAAAATCTTAGGTGCTCCTCCACTTCCTGTTGACTGTTTCCGAAGTAAAGAAATGATTTCTGGGAGTCTCTTATCATACATATTTTATAATGTTGCCCTTTCCACCTATATCATTTCTGCTAGCCTTGTTGGTTGGTATAAAGTACCCATGGAGTGCTCAGAATAGTACTGCTTATCTACCATCTGAAATTCCTATTGCCACTTGATGATGATTACTTAATAATAATACATTCTAATGATCAATATTTTATCCCGCTAATGTTTCGTATATCAATTATACCAAATTGCACTCTCATTGACCTGAAAATATTTGTTTCATCAGTTCTCCCATTCAATCCTCAAACTGTTTTGTTGAAAATAGATTATTGGAGCTAGGAAAATTTGTGAAAAAAATATGGAAGCTTCGAATTGTTCACAACGAGGTGTCCTTTCAAAAGGACGGTAGGATCATAGGATACTGAGCAAGCAATATTTTTCAAACATTTCATTAGTCAAATTCTACATGGTATGGTACTTGAAAAAACAATCCTTAGGCTGAAGGGCTACATTACTGCGCATTACTGCGCACATCTCCGTTGCTGATCTGATGAGATGATTGAGTCCATGAAAACGAGAATATTCGTGCTGTTCTTTCGGTGCCTCGATGATTTCCTCTTTGTAGTCCTTTTATACGTTTCCCAAAACTCAATGGCAATAGATCGTATGAAAGCGAGCTGATTTATCTTCCCCACATTGCACTTTTTTAATTGCCAAGAATTTCGGACTGCCATATCGATGCAGTGGGTTAGTAATGGAAAGTACCATTTTTTCCACGTATCGTTGTTCTATACTGACTAATATTCTGGTCACTTCTATCTGCGCTGTCCATATTTTCGTTATTTAATTTTTTTAAAAAACGGTTGTTCGACTTGAATATGTTTCTTCTGAGATTGTGAAAATCTTTAGAGTGAGAATACTGATGACGCATTTGAAACCAAAGTTACGACGCTATTGTCGTTTCATTCACAGATCGCCATGTTATCGTCAGCTATGGAATAATCTAGGGCACCTCTTTCGACCATCTTTAGTTCATTTGATGATTTTAGAGGACACTGTGGGATCCGATTCTCTCTAATTGTTTCAGCACCTTTGATTTTTCGCAGTGTAAGTTCTTTTAGAAGGGAAAGAGAGGTGGAATAATGATCAAAAAATAGATGAAATGAGTGATATGGCATCTTCTGTTAAACGTCAGCATATTACAGGATCACGGTGGAACCTAATCCCATATGTTCATACTGCTCCGCTAATTCTGAGGATGAGCCTTGGTAAGGGTCAAAATAACCAAGTCTCGTAGCTCCCACCCATAGCTTGTAGCCTCAACAAATGAGTTTTCCACGAATGAATTGCTTGCAGCCATGAGAACCTAAGTATGGCACCATGGCTTCATCCACACTGTGATTTCCTCTGCAGACGCATGTTCGAAGAACTTTTCATTCGAAATGTCAAGAAGTGGTCTCATTTTTTAGTACCTATCATCTTTGTCTGATCGGCCATTACAGTGAATATTTTGCATTATATAATGAAATCGGTCACGAGACATGGCAGCTCACACCATTTTATTGTTAGTATCCTCTGAATTTTGCCAGTACATATTTCTTCGAGAAACAGTGCAGTATCCACTGAGATATCAATTCATTTCGTTCTTTGATATATCATGTAGACTTTTTTGGTGTGCGTAACTGTTGCCATAATGAAGAATCAAATTAATGACGCCATCGTCAAAAAACATCTTGGAAATGGTGGCTGGAGATTGCTGATTTCGAATTGTCTGAACTGAAATCCAAGGTGGAAATTCGGGCTGCAAATAACCTACTTCGGTCGGATCAAGATACATAAGTGCAAAAGTCGATTTCAACCATTTGCCTTTTTCACTTGCCTCATGCTTGTATTCCGGTACCAAACCACCTACAGTGAAACCTACAACCAACAATTTTAGCATTTGGCCAAGTGTTTACTATAGCAAGGTGTATGGCTTCCTCAAAATCTACAACTACCTTTATAATATTTTGATCAATTCCTTCTGACAAACACGCGCCTGTGACTAGTTGAAATAGTTTTTTTACCTCTACCCTCAATTGATATCCAGGTAGATTCTATTTTGTGATTACTCATACAGGGCCCTAGTGGCACTCTGTTACTTTGGTAAATTACAACATATCTTCTTTGTTCGTTCAATGATAATCAAAATAAGTGAAAACTCTGAAAGCCAACTCAACTTTACATAGACATTGTTCTTTTTTCCGAATTGTCTAGCTCTAACGGTTTTTATGTTATTAGCTCTTGAAGAGATTCATGTTTCACTTTGTAACATTTAAATAATTTTGATTTATAAAGTTAGTGAAGTAATAGACAGTGAGCAATGATGACAATCACTGAAAACGCCATTGACAAACGGTCTTCTGAAGTAAATGTTGGACCAAAGTTGAGGAAAATTTTGAAATAAAATTTTTGCTTGAACAGTCTATCTGCAACATTTCTATTTAGCATGTTGGGTTAAATCTTCATATTTTGGTGTTTACTATCTATAGTTCAGAGATTTTTCATTCTCAATTTAATGTAATAAATTAATAAAATGTTATAATTGGAACATACATCTTTTCTAGAGCGAATAACACAAAAACCGTTAAAGTTAGACAATTTGAGAAAGAGTACATTTTCAATGTGAAATTGAACGAGATTTAAGATTTTTCAATTATTTTGATCATCATTGAAGAGACAAAGAAGATATGATGTAATTCACCGAAGTAACAGATTCTTATTAGCGCCCTCTATGAGCAATCACAAAATAAGTTTCAAATTCGTATTCCTCATGTTATAAAACCTGAATCTATTAGATTTCATGTTAATGCTTTTCAAACTTCCAAAGTTATTGTGAAATTTCAAAATAAAGTCTTCCATTATAAGACCCTGTATCTCCTAAACCAGCAACATTTTTGGGTGGCATGTTAGGCTAAATCTCAATATTTTAGTGTTGACTGTCTGTAGCTCAGAGATTTCCCATTCCTAATGAATCACCCTGAATATACTTGGTGACATTACATTATACATTTTTTGATACCAGAAAAAACAAAATGGCGGTTCCTAGATTTGTGATTGTGGTACGATTCTATTCAAAATTGGTATGTAGGGGCTTACGTGGTCGGAACTTATGAATTTCTTGTCAAAATTCATAAATTCAAGTTGGCGGCTCCAAGAAAGAGGACGAGTGTTATGATCATGATCTGATTTGATTCAAAATTGATATGTGAGGGTTTTATGGGTCGGAAATCATGATGTTTTTTCGAATATCATTAATTCAAAATGGCGATTCCAAGATTGTAGGCGGAATATGTAATTGTGATATGTTTCGATTGAAAATTCATAATATCTGATCAAGAAAAACACCTAGATAGCAATTTTGAATCGACTCGGACCATTATCACAAAAATTGTCCGCCATCTCAAATTCATGAAGTTTGAGGAAATATTCATAATCTCCGACCCCAAAAATCCTTACACACCAATTCCTTATCGAATCGAATCATAATCACAAAACTTGTCCACAGTATCGAAGCCGCTTCCTTGGATTGCATAATTTGGATTTTCTATTCATATGGAATAGAAGGAGAGAGAGTTAGGAAAAGTAAATTAAATAAATGTACATAACTGATTTATTAATCGAAAAACTTTTGCCAAAGGTTTTGAAAAATTATACAGTTTTTTCTATTGTCGCTGTCTTTTGACATACTCATTTTTACCAAATACTTTGATTTCGACCCAATCTTCATTTTCTAGAAGGGTTTCATTTTTATCCTTGAGAGCTAAGCACTCATGTTTCTTGGGAGGAACTTTCTTCGAAATGTGTTTTGCGAAAAAGTGACGTACAGTTGATTTCTGCTCTTTGGTCCATGGAACTAAGGTTCTTTTTGACTTTTTTAGGATTTGTTTTCCTGCTAGAGAGGTATTAGTTGAAGCACTACCTGGAAGCTGAAGAACCGCGTCTGATGAATTTCGATAAGTTCTTTGTAATGAAGAGTCCAGAACTACCATCAACTCTTTAGGAAATGGTTGATTTTCATCACCACTGTCATTGTCGTTCTCTTTGAGATCAACATCTAGATCAATATTTATTTCATCAAGACTTTTACTTTTGTATTGTGCCGCTTCTCCTTTTTCCATCAATAACAATAACCTAGTAATTTTCAAGGTTTGATAAAAGTCATCTGGTAAACGGTATGAACCACGGTGGACATTAAAAGTGTGACCCATGAACGTAGACAATTTTTCCTCTGATCGGTTAATTCCTCTATTTGATATGGCGGATTGATTTTTTTTGTCAAAATCCACAAATCACTCTGTATGTCAGTAACGAAACCGTTCTGGACATTTGTTCATGACATTTTGAAATCATATTGACAGTCCCTATAACCCCATAAGTATTGTCAGTTTCATCTCCGCACCCCCTGTATACTAAGAAATCCAGGCAACATCCAGTTGTGCAGTCACAAATCATAAATAACTCGACTCCAAATCGGTGACGTTTAGAAGGAATGTATTGTTTGAATGATAGCCTTCCTTTGTACAAGACTAGACTCTCATCGATACACACTTTCTCAAATGGAGAAAATACTTCTCTGAATTTGTTCCTCAGGTAATTGACAACATAGCGAAGTTTGTAAATCTTATCACCATTAGCAGGCAGGTCATTATCACAAAAGTGTAGTATTTTCAGAATAAAAAAAATCGGTCTCTTCTCATCATTCTAGTGAATATTGGGGTAGATAGCAATGAGTCTGTTGACCAGTATTCATGAAGTCTCAACTTCTTACATCTGGTCATGAGCAAAGAGATTCCGAAAAACGTATACATTTCATAAACAGATACAACGGCAGGATTGTGATACTTCGTCATGAAATTTCCATCTTGTACTCTGGGGGAAGAAAAAATCTATTGGCTTCTTCTGTAATGTGATGAACAAATTCCCTTGTGAAAAATGACTCGAAGAAATCAAGCTCAGTGGACATCTCTAAAAATGAATAGAAAATTACTGAGTGATAAGCGTTCATTCCACTAGAAATAGCATCCTACCATTTATTCCGACAATTTGACAACCACTGTTTGCATCGTCAAATTCGAAAACTTCCGGTTTCCAAATTCCCAGTTGAAAAAATCAGTAATTCCATCATTTCCTTCGTTATCCGCATTATTATCATCATCGGATTCATTGTCAGGCAGAATTTGAGATACTTGGATATCTTCAATTACCTAGTTCAGAATCTCCACCACTAGAATAAACGTCCTCATTGTTGTCGTCTCCCTCGAAAAAATTCTCTATTATTCCTTTCAGCTCTCTTGTTGTCAGAGGTTTACAATCTCTTTTGAACATAACGATTTCATCCAGCACAAAGCACAATAACCTAACTATCACAAGAACAATTACTGGGATATTCAAAACAACACACCGTACTGGAAGTATTTCGATAACCGACTGCCGACTGCTACGCTATATCAGCACACAGCATAGTAGCGACAACCAATCACACACGTACATTCTGAATTTATAACATGTTATTTCATAGCACGGAATAGAAACGTACGACATTCATATCCTGAAATACAACACAAACATAATACGGCGCTCTTATTCGATTTTTGAAACGTATGCATACGGCAATCGTACGGAAAGGGTTAAAGCCGGGCTGAGACAGATATCACCGAATCGATACCACCCTGAGGTATACGACCGCCAACACGCTGTACTATCGGTAGCCAGATATTTCAACGCGAATTGTAACAGTAAAAGTTTTTTCGATGAAACAATCGTGGCGTGGTAGCGCAGTTGTGTTAGCGTCAGCTTATCCAACCACCCTATCATTCCACTGTGGAAACTAGCCCTGGATGTTAGGATGGAAGCGGTGATGTTTCCGCATTTTTTCAAGTTTGCGGTTCTGATCATCTTTCAGCCATTCTTTGAACTTTCGCCCTACCCGAATTTTTCTTTAATTGATTCAGGGTTCCATTGTGGTGTGGTGATTGAAATTTGGCTCATGTCCAACCAGCGGCTCGAACTCGACGGGCCAAAACCAACAATTTTCGTTGATATTTTTTTCATTTATTTCAATTTTTCCCTGAGGAGTTCTAGAGCAATCAGATTACATAAAAACGTATCAAGAATTAAATAAATAATGTTCAATAATAGGTGTACTAATGATGTATGCAGCATGCACAATCCCCTATATTACGGATTGCCTAAATCAAAGGCGGCACTATTGCCTTCGAGGTCCAAATGTAGGTACCCCTTTGTATGGATGAATCAACCACTCACTCGGAAAATCAGTGTAAAAAGTTTCCCACAGATGTCGTGATGAGTACCAAAATGCTTATAGTATGACAATCGATTTTCTTTGACCGTATTCTGTTCATTAAGATTTTTTCGGTACTGATCTACTCGTAATAGAGCAACACCTTGTTGGATTGGTAGAATGAATTGATTTCCACATCGAAATGGTGGGAGGAATTGTGTATTCATTATACGTTCTTTGTTTGCACTAATTGATGAATCCTAAGACTTTCTTTACTCACTTCAAAAATATAATTCCACTTGAAAATGGACTTCGTCAGTTGAATAAATTCTGAACAATATTAGATTCCCACACAATTTCAGAACATGGTTGAATAAATGAACATCCAAATGTTACTTATTCGAATCCCCGGCAGAGCAGAGAATGTTCCATTTATAAAACGTGTCATCAATTCTAATTCACTTAGTCTCGGCCGGAGATGATTCCGCACGATTAGCTGTTGCGTTCCAATTGACAGTGCTGCTCCTAACGCGACGAACTGAGTAGGTAGCAAAGCCCACATATAACATACATGGGCTAAAGGACCTCTCGTAAGGCCGATGGTTAGTTGTTATGTACATACACAAAAACATTCATATAATACTTCTACTAAGGGTAATAATGAGGAATGATTATTCTCACGAATTTATGAAACTCTAGTAGGTAGCTCACAATATACATTCAAACAATTATATTTATCACTATTATAAGGTATATAACGTAATGGGTTTATGAATTCAATTATGAATAAGTTATAAAATGTAGAAAATATTATTAAAAATGATTCAATTTCAATCCTAATTATATTTTCTTGTTGTATTACACACGACGCACATTTCAAGAGGATGACATTGGTGGAGTTTATGATGACGAGTCTCGCAGAACATCCGTTGAATCTCCCACCAAGTTGTCGTTTGATGTACTGACGTCATCTGATACCTCTATTCACCCGGTTTCTATACAGGGCGAAACAATCATGACAAATGTTCTTCGAGCCTTGTTGTATGTCCAAAGTTATCATTGATACGGTACTGCAGAAATTATTATCAATCACCATCAAGATCGCTCACTTGCCTGAGGTCAAAAGGCTTGCTTCTGAAGCTCATCCGACGGTCGATTTCTTCTTCTTCCCCATACCCCTCGCCTGACTGTCCAGCCGTACCATATAGCTGGCTATACACAAAGCAGTTCGAAAGGAAAGAACATTACCTTTGAAATCCTCCCACGGCAACTATGATCATTTCATGAAAGTGCCTGCATACATCCAAGGAGATCTCAAGTGGTGATCAAAAAATTCACCTAGAGCGGAAAACACGATCGAGACTGCACCATTTGAAACAGAAATATTCACATACGCCTCTTCCACAGGCTGAGGAGCATTCGGTGATGATGAAACTTAACGCGGATTTTGGAAATCAGATGCAGCAATGAGGGGACCAATAACCTGTGCGAAGATCACATTCCTCTTGAATAATGTATCTTTCATGAGCTTCAATAATGTTTCTACTATATGTCTCGGAATTTGTATTGTTAAGTCCACACTGTTGATGAGAAAGCCTAAGTATTTTATATTTTGGCAGGGAACTAGCTGACTTTTCTCAAAATTGATAATAAACCCTAGCTTAGTAAATAAGTTCTTCGTATAGTTAATGTTTCTGCTGCTTCATCCTCATTTTTTCCAGCAGTAATAAATCGTCTAGGTGTATTACTGACAGATAACCTCATGATCCCAAATTACCAAGTATTGGTTCGAATATTTTTGTAAAAGGTAAGACATTAAATTCATATAATCCACCTTGGAACTCGAATTTCAGGTATTTTTCATGATTAGCATGAATGGGAATTGAAAAATATACATCTTTCAAGTCAATCGATGCCATGTATGCATTCTTTGAAATCAAATTTTTGACTGTTCGTATATCTTCTAGTTTGAAATGTTGTGTTCGAATGAAAGTATTCAGCTCCTTGAGATTGAGAATGAATCTAAATGAGCCGTTGGGTTTTCGCCTTACAAAGTAAGATGACAGAAACTCATATTCACAATGATTGCATTCTGATATGGCACCAATTTTGATTAGTTCTGTTACGCAATCATTAATGGCGAATGAATCATGATTCTTCAAATAACCATTTGGTTTTCTCATTTGGATTGGTATTTCACAAAGGGGAATTTGTGACCCTGGTGGACCCATTTTAGTATAGTTTGGTCCCTAGTGATTGCTAGCCAGTTTTCATAAAAGTACTGTATTCTTCCAGCATACCTTTCTCCTACCTCTGTCATTTCCTGTGCTTCTACTGACTGTATTTCTGTCCCTTCCGTTCTTTCACATTGCTCTGGTGGTGATAATTGTTGTATGTGTTCCGCTTCTGGCTGTACTTCCCCCCTTCCGGTTTCTTTGTTTTCATCTTTGATTTGTATGTTGGTCGTTTGAAGTTTAAAGAATTTTGCAGTCTCTGTCTTTCTGCCTTCATTCAATTCGCCGCATTCTCCACTGCTTTGGCCATTTTGCATTGTTCCTCGAAATCCTCTCCAAATAGTTGGTTGTCTATTTTCGATTTCTGAGCTACTTCCTGTATGGAGGGATTGGAAAACGGAATCAGGCAATACTTCCTATGGAAAGAAATGGTATGATGTACCTCTGCTATGATCTTTCCTGCTTCCACTTAGTTAGGAGAATCTGCCTGATTATCTTCATTCTGAATATTGTTTGTGATGTGCTGCCTAGGGCTGTCATTCCACGACCTAGGGTTTCTTGAAGGGCACATAAGAAACCCTCTTTTCTCATCTCTGATGGTCCCAGGAGGGCCGAGATTTCCGCATTTGCCATTTTCTACCAATTTGGTTTCCGTGTCACTGTTCAACCCCTCAGTCAGGTAATTTTTCCACCTTGTCGACAGATGTTCTAATATGTCCCGACCCAACCCCTTATCCTTCGTGGGGTCGATCTCTAGGATTTTATACATTGCTGGTGGCCCTTGTTGCTCACCCTGTATTGGGCCTTGTATTTATGGTGACTGAGCCCTGAAATTTCGTTGGTCTAGTTCAAGGTCTTCATCGCTGTCTGACGACGACGATTGAGACGAGCTGCTAGAGCCTAAAATATGATCTTAATAGGTAACCTTGGTACTCATTTTCGTTCCTCGTGGTAATATAATTCCCTGTGGTCATTACTAAAAACTTTCGTAATACTTTACAAAAGATTGTGACTCATGAGATGATAAGTTGAGAATGTCTATCATCCCCCAGTGATGATAAAAATTCGTCACGCGGTATCAATCCTAACACAAGTCAAGGACTGTGCTGGGTTTTTATGCGCCAAACGAAAATGTGTCTGTCAAATGGCATGTCTACGATGGTAGACAAACCCTTTCAGAGATTTCCTCTCTACGGCCCGATACCTGCTTCAATTATATCGATGGATTTTCTTCCGCATTTTTCCTCTCGAAAAATCAAAAACCAATGAAACTGTTATCTTTTGTACTTACTTGAGTCAACATCTAGCATGTCTCCGATATTTGTTTTTTCTACCTGATCTTGTTGAAGTCAGAGATCATTTTCCGTTTTGAAAATTTTTATCTGTTCATTTTGTGTTTATTTTATTTGTTTTCGTCTTCGCTTTACTTCCAACCTATGCACACTATTCAAGCGCTAGAAACGTGATATATAACAGGTATAGATGGGGTCAGGGAAATCTAAACTTTGAATTGAATATATAATTTGAATTTAGAATATTCAGTAGGGGAGCTGCTGGTCTTTAGAGTGAAAAGGAAATGAATTCATCCTCTTTACTTCTCTCTTTCCTCCGTTCTCCGTCATTTCCTGAGCTGCCTGCTGCAGCACCTTCTGAATGCGAAGCATCTGCGGATCCACAGGGGAACATACCGTGAAGAGACTCCGTGACTTGGCATGGCGCCACTACTGACTCTTCTCCAAATATTCCACCTTGTTGGAAGGATAGACCTCCAACTTTACTTTGTCTGAACCATACGCGTTGTCAACTTCATGGAATGAATAGTTTCGCTCTCCGTCTTCGAAATATGTGCTTGTATTCCGCCAGTGCTCTGCTGTGTAGGATTCACTCCAAGTAACTCGTCTAAATTTAGCACCTCTGACTCTAAGGGTCTGGAGCCTTGAGCAGATACATCTGGAATTGTAATAGTTACAATCGTGGATGACATGACAGTGGTCTTCGTGTCCGGCAATAATGAAGACGCTTCCTCGAAATCCTTGGTTAACACACTTTCTAAGTCTGCAATAAAATCGTTCGTAACTTGCAATCGGAATAACGTCGTGAATAATCCTTCTTCTCGGAGGATTCCGCAAAAGTTCTCGAATGAAATCGGATTGTCCAGTTCTATTTTCTCCTTTATCATTTTCTTCAAGATATTTTTCAGATTCACTCTCAGACAAATTCTCTTCGCAGATAAGTCTTTCTTTGAAATCATCATTGCCTGTACTCTCTGGAATACATGCAGTATTTGTTTGATTGATGTCGAGTCCCTACAATTCAATTCCAGCGCATTGAACATCGAACTCTCCTCCTCCAAGTCGACTGTCATTTATTGTGTAGTCATTTTCGGATAGATAATCTTCGTCGTCTACCAGAAAGAAGCTCGCCAATGAAGAACCAGACTCATATATTATAGTAGGTAATACGTGTGGTTACAAATTGTCCTGGACAATTATAAATGCATCGAATATGATTCGAACTTCGAAATTCCTTTGGTTTCGTATAAAATGATAACTTGTTGTTTTGCAACTTTTACAATTCTTTGTCACAACGTTTATTAGATTTTTTCTTTGCCACTCATCTTGTAAATTGTTCAGTTCTTGTTCACACGCTACCATTAAGTGTTCTATCACTGATAGAGCTTCTTTTTGGATGCTTTTATATAGCATAGCAATTATTTGTTTATTATTTATTATTTTTCAAATAACAATCGAATGTAATTTCTACATCATTTATTCGGAAATAATGACTTCATCATTATAATTTGTTTTTAAAAAACTCCAAATCATTATGCTTCCACATCTATTTTATTCTCCCGCCAAATTTATGCATGGTGGTAATATAAATTTTTTATTTTCTTCAAGTGATTTAATTTGAAAGTAACTACGTTGTTTAATAGCTAATTAATTCTTATTATTTCCTCTTATATTGTGTTACAGTTTCAAATGGTTACCGGAAATTTCATTGCTGCAGCATTCTCCATAAGAACGTACCCACTACGTTCGGACAACCACGTGACCTACGCCAAACATTCCTGGATGGATAGACCCAGGAGATCTCTCCCAGACGATGTTCCTGATGGCAATCTTAGGAAAAACGGCAATGGTCGACCATCACTGCTCTCAAGTCGATGTCGTCGATGGTGGAGGAGCCTTTGGAGCCTAGGTAATGAGTGTTACCTAATGATGGTGACATCCAGACAAGCCGCATCGTGAAAGTGGGAGTATATATGACCCAGAATCCAGTCCAACCAAGAGATGCGAGGACAAATGAACTTGAAGGAATTTAACCCTACCGTAAAACCCTATGACCAAAAAAAAAAGATCCAGTACACAATAAAAAACCTGGATGGTGGGACTTTGGGGATGACTTCGAATCAGGACTCACCAGCTAAGAAGGGTTTCCGACACCTCAGAAACAGCGGTAGCAGAACACGTTCCAGAGCAGACCTTGTGTCGATGTGCGATATCCTGGACGGCTTCAGGCTTCCTGGTCAAATTCCAAAATTCCAGGTTGACTCGATTGAGTGCGGTAAATATGGAGCTATCGATGTCCTCGCATGGGACCCGATCTCTAAATCCAGGAATATCCTGTGAACTCCTCACCAACCACTAACAAAAAAACTCGAGCACACTGCTGACTTAAGAACCAGATCGAAAGTGCTCCAACCGGCACTGAAAACCACTTTTATAGTACTTCCCGGAAAGGGAAACTACGTCATGATCCAGGATGATCCGCGACTATTCTGGAATGTCTGTTCCTTTGTTGAAGAGGAAACCCGAGTTGTAAAACAAAAAGGTGTATTTTCTAGAACCATTGCATTGTCGAAGTAAGTGAATCGACCAATCATGATGCCCCATTTCAGTACTACTTTGTGATATTCGCACTGAGAAGTACCAGATTTAGACGTCATTCCTAGAAATTGGTGAAAAGAACCTGGCAACTATGCATTTCAGAAATCAGCTTAGCAATGGGTGTGTTGATGAAGAAGACAGAAGACAGATGCGATATAGTACCAAAACAAACAGGGAATAGTACCAAAAATAATTTTCCGATCTAGGATTTCCTCCAAGCAGCCCTAAAGACCTTAATCAGCCCTGGCGAGAAAATTATAATATTCTAGTTTTGAATTCCCGAGCAAACTTGGGTACTTAAGTTGGTGAGTACCTATACATGTACTAACAATAATTCATCAACACTGGCTTCTCTTCCAGGAAGAAGAATCTACACCCCTACCAATTTTGATACCTTAAGGAATCCTGACTTTATTCATCTATGGGCTCTGGAAGAAATCTCACCCTAAAATTACACGCTGGAGTCCTCCCAATCCAGAAAATATATGGAATTTGAAAGCATACTAGTATACCTATAAACAGAAAGAAGGAAACACTCAATTCAAATATCCCGTAATTCTCATATCATCCCTCCACTACAAGTCGGTCAGTCTAACATCATTGTTATCATTATTTTTGGTTTTAATAAAATTTTTATCATATATATTTCCTACATTGGTTGATTCCTTGATTTGAAAATGGGTAGGCAAACGACAATATACCATTGATATCTACTGTGTTGCCTGGTAATTGAATGAGATGATGTCTTCGGTGGGAATGAATTGAAATTGAGTGCCTGATATGATTACTAGATTATTTGACCCTATGCACCTAATTATATGATTGAACAGATGATAAAAATTATCACATATCACCCAAGAACATAAAAATAATCAGTATGTACAATTCAAACGTTACAACCTTTCAGGTTGAAATCGAATATCTCGGGACTGTATGAAGCACAACTGATCGAAGCAGTGATTGGTTGTGTTAGAACGTAAAGCCATTGATTACTACTAATGGGTTGCCATAATTCCATGTTTGATCTGATTGATTTTGTCGTACAATCAGGTGGAATCTGAGTAATTGTCTGAGTTCGTATGATTACTTCACATACTGGCTGTTCAGTAGTCAGATGGATAATCGGATGGTGACAAATATATTCACGTTCAAATAGCATTTGACAACTCGATAGATCCCTCAATCTTCCATACTGCGCTCGGGTAGTACTCAATAATAGGTAGGGAAATGGAGGATCAATATAGGAATATACAGGGTGTCAATTTGAAAACTTCCCACCCTTAATATCTCCCTCCAAGTCGTTAATATGGAAAAACGAAAAGACAGGTCGATTTTATTCTCGAGGGGGACACTTTGAATTTTTGACCATCATGGTTCAACCCCCTAGGAGGGGTAGATGTCACCCTCAGAATATGAATAGGGAAGAG